TCAAGTAGTTTTTTTGGACAAGTACTTTTACTCTACTCACACTTTTACTTGAGTATATTTTTTCAGTACTCTTTCCACCACTGCTTATAGGTAAGTACTAATATTTTGTAACTGATACAGAACTTAACAGGTAGCCAGTTACTTTAATGTAAATAAAGCCTTGCATTTGGATCCCCAACTCTGTTGTCACGCTCTCCACGTTACAAGTACATTATGGAAGTGTACTAAGTGTACTGAATATATTTTACTGAGTATATTTTACTGCACTTTTGTTCACCTGGGAACATAATTACCATACATTTGAAATTAATTATTTAATCTATTAAAATATGTGGGCAATGCATTATAAATACATTTAGTATGTATTAATTATATATTCTTATATTTTAAATAATTAATAAGTGTATTTTCTATGTATGATAAGCATATTTAAAAGTGCATGAAAGATGGTTTCAGTTGTACTACAAGTGGTAACTAAATACATTTTTTTTAATACAGAGAAAGTATGTTAAATGCACATTTTAGTTCATATTCATGGTGTCCTAAAAAAGCACAGTGGAGTACACTTAGATGTTCTTAAGATTATCTTAAGAAATACTAAAGAATCATTTTTAGTATATTAAGTACAAAATTAGTGCGCGAAAATAGAGCACTTTAAGTACATTATGGACTGTTTACAGCGGAAGTTACAAAAAACTGTTTATATCATTTTAAATATGTTTTTGTTTTTTTACAAAAATGCATCAATTCGCTACAGGAAGCCTTTGTTCACCCCCCGGAGGCGTGTGAGGAACGTTTTAATATGGATGGATGCGCTTTGACTTCTTTTGGACCGTTGAACAAAAACACCCACCGATGCCATTTTTAAACTTGGAAGAGAAAGGACCATTTTTAATATAACTCCGATTGGATTTGTCTGAAAGAAGAAAGTCATACACACCTAGGATGCCTTGAGGGTGAGTAAAACATGGGCTAATTTTCATTTTTGGGTGAACTAACCCTTTAACATGGGTGTTCAGTCTCTCTTTTTTTTTCTCTCTCTCTTTCCCTTCTAGGTGTTCAGTGGGAAGGCAAGGCTTCACTTGGTCCCATAACGGTTCGAGAGCGACGGAAGACTTTACCTGGCTTTCAATAAATTTGAGAAACCTACCCTTGTTTCTGTTTTGTTTTTCCTTGTGTAGATTATCAACCAGTTTTGACCTGAAAACATGCTTTCAGTGTGGGGAAACTGATATTTGTACAGTAGCCTTTCAGGGTCTGGAAGGGGAAAAATGTAATGGGGGTCTAACGTAACCCTAAAGATAGACCTCCTACAAACTCTGTTTTTTAAAGAATTGTTTCAAAGTGGAGTTCCTGGTGGATAACTAACTACACTACCCATGATGGTGTAAATTTCACCAATCTGAGCTGTGCCAAAAACTCTACAGGGAACACTTTGATACATTGCAAATACTTGTTTGCATATTCTGCAATAAACTTAAGATTTTTCAACTTTAAATGAGAAGTCTAGACCTAACTCCACTGGGAAAAGTGGGTGGGTACCAATGCACTCTTGAGTTATTGGACTTTTAGTGGTTGGGTGGTGAAATTTTGTGCCACTAGCACATTCCAACAGAATTTAAGGTCATTGTGTTAAGTGTGTTTCCCAATATGCTTTTCTTTTTTTCCCCCTTGACCAGGGCGGGGACCGCTGGCACATGCAAGATTTTGAGTTGAATAGGAATGCTAAATGAAGTGCACTCCCAGTTTTAAACCCGTAAGCATCAACTTTGGCACATTTCCCACTTTTGGAGTTCTCCACCTCCAGTTGGGTTATTTGTAGGTCTTGCACATTTAATATAGAAAGATGGCATGCATCTTAAGTTCAGTTTAATATTTAGGGTGCCAAGCTTGCAGAACCTGATGTAATTTGTTTTTGGTGCAGTAGCAGCAGATCCGTTATTCCTAAAAATTGGTTTCACATTCAATCGTAATATCGTTTAGAATTTGATGTTTGGAATCCCAGTTGACAACCTTTTAACATGTGTTGGCTGGTGGTTAATGCAGCGTCTCAGGCATTTGGTTTCTTGCACAGCAGTTTCACTATGAATGTCGATATTTGGGTTTTGTACCATTGGCTGATTTCCCCATATGTGTTTAGAGATCATTTTAAGTCAAGAACTAACTGATATCCATTAAAACACTCAAACTCAACCATTCAAGACAGACACACATCATTTAAGGGTGTTTTAATTTCATTATTTGAATGCAATATGGAGCTGAAACACAGTTTTAATATGTAAAGCATGAGGACATGCATGGACCACCATGGTCTCAGGTCATGACCTTAACACTTTTTTCCTTTTTGCTGCTCACATCCATGTCCCTTTTTCCCATGATCACCTCCATGACCGTGACCATGTCCGTGACCTTGCTGTCCTTGCTGACCCTGCTGACATTGCTGACCTTGCTGTCCTTGCTGACCTTGCTGACATTGCTGACCTTTCCCTTTGCCTTTGCCCTTTCCATGCTTCTACAAGTAGAAGTAAATTCAGAGTTACATTCTATCACTGGAACTGTTAATATGCAAAAAGTGCCATCATTTTCCACCATTAAAGTTTGCTCTTACCTGTCCACATTCATCTCCTGAGCTCTATGAGACAGGAAATATGACAAAAGAATTAGCATACAATGGAAAAGTTCTTTAACTATTTGTGTAGAAATGTAAAGAGTGTGTTATTGTCTTCATACCTCGGAGCCAGAATCTCCGCAAACCTGTTAATATACAGAATGATCAGTGTATTATTCTTTAAAACTTACAGTTAATGAATGAATCCATAGATATGCACAATTAAAATGCTAATAAAATTTGCAATGCAATAAAATTGGTATTCTCGAGAGGAATTGTAAATATCTTACCTGCTGTTGTCCTGCAGAAGACATTTGGAAAACAAAAACGAGCATTAAGAGTTGTTCTCTAATGGCATTTAAGTAAAATAATTGTGAAAGTGTATAGCTGTAAAATTTCTTAAACTTTTAATAAAATGCCACAAACAGAAAAATGTCAGTATATTTATATGAAATATTACTTACGTGGAGCACTCATGTTGAAATTTTCAGATATTTAACACGTCTGTAAACACTAAGCAACGAAAAAGACCCGTAAGCAAGATGTCTTCTGCATGCATGCTCAAATTATATTTATTTTAATATTTCATAAGATAAAATCCTTGCAAATACATTTTCTAAAGAGTAACTTTAGGAATGTCTTACCTTTTGTCTCGTCTTGCTCTCTGTGTGGAAATGCCGTTCTCGTGCTTGTATTTATGCTTTGGATCCGCCCTCAGGTGACACAGATACCTGCTCATCCACGCCCAAGAGTGGATAAACAAGTCTGTGTGCTCACATTAAAATAGTAGACTACAAGAAATGAGAGCTGAATGAAAAATAAAGCTGAATTAAAAAAATATAAAAATGTGGGTATCCACTGTATTTGTTGAATATGTCTTAAATGACCTCTATGAAACACTAAGCAACGAAAAAGACCCATAAGCAAGATGTCTTCTGCATGCATGTTCAAATTATATTTATTTTAATATTTCATAAGATAAAATCCTTGCAAATACATTTTCTAAAGAGTAACTTTTTCGATCTGTTATTTGTCATCAAACGGTCACATGAATCATGCATTTGACAGGTATCTGTCGGAGCTAATAAATGAAGAATGTCTTACCTCTTGTCTCGTCGTGCTCTCTGTGTGGAAATGCCGTTCTCGTGCTTGTATTTATACTTTGGATCCGCCCTCAGGTGACACAGATACCTGCTCATCCACGCCCAAGAGTGGATAAACAAGTCTGTGTGCTCACATTAAAATAGTAGACTACAAGAAATGAGAGCTGAATGAAAAATAAAGCTGAATTAAAAAAATATAAAAATGTGGGTATCCACTGTATTTGTTGAATATGTCTTAAATGACCTCTATGAATTAGATTCATGTGTTTGAGTGGCTGATGCACTGAACACTGAATGAATCTATGCAAGTTCCTCTAAAAATGAATGGCATAATCCATAAGTCATAAGATCAGTGCATGTTAAAACATGTGAGTTTCAGTGTAAATGTTCTGATTCTGCTGTAAAATGGTGTAGATGTTTTTGTTTTGTTTTGTTTTTTCCATGGTGATAGGAAAGTTATCGTCCCATTGATGCAGCACGGATGGAGGAACCAGACAGTTGAAGGAATCATAATTATGGCCTGTGTTTATACTTCACTTCACAAAACAGAAAGTCTACAAAAATCAGAAAGATCTTCTGAGATGTCAGCTAAATTCAATTTACAATCTGTGATGGGTTTTATTGAAAAATTTTCAACTGAAAAATTTTAAAGCAATCATCTTTCATAATGCAATCTACAAAGTTTTTCCAAGAGTGGATAAACAAGTCTGTGTGCTCACATTAAAATAGTAGACTACAAGAAATGAGAGCTGAATGAAAAATAAAGCTGAATTAAAAAAATATAAAAATGTGGGTATCCACTGTATTTGTTGAATATGTCTTAAATGACCTCTATGAATTAGATTCATGTGTTTGAGTGGCTGATGCACTGAACATTGAATGAATCTATGCAAGTTCCTCTAAAAATGAATGGCATGATCCATAAGTCATCAGATCAGTGCATGTTAAAACATGTGAGTTTCAGTGTAAATGTTCTGATTCTGCTGTAAAATGGTGTAGATGTTTTTGTTTTGTTTTGTTTTTTCCATGGTGATAGGAAAGTTATCGTCCCATTGATGCAGCACGGATGGAGGAACCAGACAGTTGAAGGAATCATAATTATGGCCTGTGTTTATACTTCACTTCACAAAACAGAAAGTCTACAAAAATCAGAAAGATCTTCTGAGATGTCAGCTAAATTCAATTTACAATCTGTGATGGGTTTTATTGAAAAATTTTCAACTGAAAAATTTTAAAGCAATCATCTTTCATAATGCAATCTACAAAGTTTTTCATTAAAAAAATTCAAAGGAAAACAACAGAAAGTTTGAACTGGTCTTCATTTGCATATGAGGTAATTAAAATCAGGAGGGTGTTTTACGTTTGTAATCCTTCTTAGCCGATGATCTTCTACACCCATAAAACACATCCTCAATCATATAGAATGAATCAGCAATTATATTCCGCAATGAAATTAAGCATTAAGGCATGAAAAAAAAAAGAAAAGCTGAAACAGTGGCTTTAAAAAATATTTGGACACTGAAGTTACACATAAAAAGTAACATTGGTATTTATATAAAAGAAAGAGCAGCATTTGTTTGCGCATGATGTTTGCTTTGATATTTTATCTAATGTAAACACATTTAGTGTGACTTGGTATGCAAATGACAAGAAAGTCAAGAAATGGCGGTGGTTTCATGCAAAAGAGAAATTACATATAAATTAGACAGAGATTAAATAGAGATTCTTGTGTCTCAAACTGGGGAAACAAGGGCAATTTTGGTGCTATTTGGAAAAGAGGATGTAGACATGAAGGGAGGTGATAAAGTTTGAATGTTTGTAAACTGACACTGTGTTGAGTTTAGAGGCGCATTGAAAAGATAACAGTGTTTGAATGGTTTATGTTTGTCTTATATTCTTCTGAAACACAAAGCATTGGGTGTTTGCTCTGTGAATCTGGATTAACTCGCTCTGCATTTGTAAAGGGTGTATTATCTCTAATTGATTTAATAAAGGATGTTAAAAAGCAGACATTAGCCGTGGGAGAAAATGTGCTTAATTATCATGAAAATAATGTCATAATACAAAAAGACAGGCTCGTTTCCTTTATGCAACAGAATTTTTTTTTAATGATTTTGGGATGAACTGACATGTTCCTGACAGGTTTCGAGAGATTAATCTTGTCACAGTTGCACCTGCAAGGTTCTTATTCATAAACACATAATTGTGACTGTAATTATATTCATACATAAATATGATGTCAGCTTTTGTTTTGATAGCAGCAGAAGATCATACCAAGAAGGTGAATGTTCTGCACCATGATCTTTACAGACCAGATAATGAACTGCAGGTTTGGTCATAATTATCATTGCAGAATATTGACACACAGATCAATGCAAACTGTTATGTGGTTGCTAGGGTGTTCTGGGTGGTTGCTATAGGTGGTTGCTTAGAGCCCACACTGCAAATAAATAAATTATGCTCAGTATTTTTGTTTTTGAAGATTTGTTTTCCAGTACAAATATCTAAACATTCTTGAATCAAGATACATTTACTTGAGAAGCAAAAATGGTTAAGATATTAAGTCTTGTTTTCTTAAATTAATCCCAAAACCTTAAAACATTAAATTAGTCATAAAAATAACATTGTTTTCCCTTAGAGTTAAGTTTATTTTTCTTATACCATTGTCAGATTTTTTTATTGTTCTATTAGAAACAATTTATTTCTATTCTATTAGAAGACTTTATTTCATTAGGTTTCCAATGATTAGACATGAGTAAGAATATCTTTTTTTTTTCCTTTTTTTTTTTTTTGAAGGCAGTCCTAAGTTTATGTTACAAACTGCAATTATTATTATTTTTAATTTTTAATTTTTTGTGACAAATATTTTTTAGCAAGCTACAGAAAAAGAACATGTAAATTCAGCTTGCATATCTTACCAACCACATTTTTTTGCAGGTGAATGTGTGATGATATTAGCATGTTTCAACAAGTTCAGGTTTGCCAGTTTTTAATTTGAAGCCAAGTTCACACTCAATTTAAATAAACATATAGACAAATCTAACAACAGTGATATTGTAAATTTTCCTTTTTTTCCTTTTAGCTCATACACTGAAAAAATTATTCACTGAATTCCACAGGTAAGTGGTTGCAATAAATTTATTTTAGCTACATTTAAATAAACAAATTTAGCTGACTAACTTTCAACATATATATTTTTTTATTAAATGTAGCTAAAATAGCTAAAATGCAACCACTTACCGTAAAAAAATTTAGTATAATTTTTTTTCAGTGTAGGTATACTCTTAATACTCTTAAA